TATCGTCCCTATCATTTTCTTCCTCTGTATGATCTGTTATTGTCATCATGGTTGTTATCATTATTATCATTATTTCCGTTTTGTTGTTGTTGTTGTTATTTGTTTGTTTGTTCGTTTGTTAGTTTTTTTACATTTTCCTGTAATTATCATTTCCATTCATGTTGTTCTATCTATATTATTATTTTTATCTGTTGGGTCATTATTACCATAATTGTTAACTTTCTTTTTTCATATAACTTTTATTATCATCATCATTTCTATCGTTATTGTTATTACTATTTTCATCATCATTATGCTATGGACTATTTCATTAATCTTTGTAATTTTTCCTCCTTGTAAATTCCTTTTTTATAGATTTATATTTTTCTTACCTTTTTTATTTTTACGTTCTCTTTGTCTCTCTTACATTTATCCTCCTTTCTCTTCATTTCCTTTCTTCCTCCTACTTTTCCTTCATTTGTCTTTCGTCTCTTCTTCCTTTTCCTTGCTTCCTCCTTTTCCCCATTTCCTCTTTACTTCTTTGTCTTTCTTCTGTTCTTCTTTCTTCCTCCCTCCTTATTCCTACGTCCCATTTACCTGTCTTCTTTCTTTCCCCCTTTCTTCCTGCTTTCTCCTTGTATGTCTTTATTCCCTTCCTCCTCCTTGCTTATTCCTCCCATCCTGCGCTTCCTTCATCTATCTTTCTTCCCTTCTTCCCTCTTCGTACATCCCCATCGTCTATCTTTTTTCCTTCCTCCTCCCTTTTCCCCTCTTCCTACCTCCCTTTCGCCTATCTTCCTTCCTTTTTTCCTCCTCCTCCTTTCTTCCCTCTTTCTTCCTACCTCCCCTTCGCCCATCTTCCTTCCTTTCCTCCTCCTCCTTACTTCCCTCTTTCTTCCTACCTCCCCTTCGCCTATCTTCCTTCATTTCCTCCTCCTCTTTTCTTCCCCTTTTCTTCCTACATCCCCTTCGTCTATCTTCCTTCTCTTCTTCCTCCTTCCTTGCTTCCCCCTCTCCCCCTCATTTCCTGCCGTCCCTCACTCTTTTCCTCTCTCTCTCTCTCCTTCAAGGTCGCGGCGGCACATGAACCTTGACCTTCGCAAAGTTCCTTCTTGTTCTGAAATCCAGTTCGGACGCCCGCGTGTTCCTCCCATGAAACGTCTGCTCGCCCCTTTTGCCTGGCTTGTCTCTCTTCTCTCTCTCTCTTTCTTTCTTTTGTCTCTATTTCTCCCTCTTATTCTCTTCTCTCTCTTCTCTCTCTCTATCTCTCTCTTCTCTCTCTCTCTCTCTCTCCTCTCTTCTCTCTACTTCTTATATATTCTATTATATATATATTATATAATATATATATATATATATATATATATATATATATATATAGTATATATATGTCTCTCTCTCTGCCCTCTGTCTGTCTCTCTTCTCTCTCTCTCTCTCTCTCTATATATATATATATATATATATATATAATATATATATATATATATATATATATATATACTATATATTATATATATATCTGTCTCTCTCTCTCTCTCTCTCTTCTCTCTCTCTCTCTCTCCTCTCTCTCTCTCTCTCATATATATATAATATATTATATATATTATATATATGTATATATATATATCTGTCTCTCTCTCTTCTCTCTCTCTCTCTCTCTCTCTCTCTCTCTCTCTCTCTCTCTCTCTCTCTCTCTCTCTCTCTCTCTCTCTCTCTCTCTTCTCTCTCTCTCTCTCTCTCTCTCTCTCTCTCTCTCTGTCCTCATCTCTCTCTCTTACTCTCTCTGCTCTCTCTCCTCTCCTCTCTCGTCTCTCTCCTCTCTCTCTTANTTTTTTTTTTTTTTTTTTTTTTTTTTTTACAATATTTCATAATTCTGTTGAGAAATATTTAGATATTAATTGTGTATCTTGCATTCTGGTATCATTCATATTCATACCTCTCTATTTTTATTAATGAAGAAGGGACTCATTCCAATGCTGCTTTAGTTATGCTTATTACATTATTCAATGTTACTTTATTTGCCAGTGAGACCCACATCACAAAGTTTTAGCTTCCATAACTTGCAATTATGGAAAACCGTAAATTTTTAATTCATGTATTTGATATAATCAAGGCCATCCAAGCTCCTTGATACCTGAAAGGAATTACTGTGTAGTAAGCTTGCTGTTACTTCATTAAGAGACTTGGCACAGTGGACTTTCTATGATAATGTTACGAGGTGTCTTGTTTTGGGTGTGTGACTTTTGACATTTGAATTTGCTTCAGGATTATAATCCCCCCAATCCCTTGCTTATTGTTGTTGAGGGGAGGTTTAGGAGATAGACTAAAGCCCATTGTATAATGCCTTAGCCCTTGCCACAACTAATTTTGCATGGTCTTTTCTTCTCCCCATTTCGTTTTCCATATATTCTTCAACCCCTTCTGTCCTATTCCTGAGGTGTGAAAGCTGTACTGAAAGGAGGAAAGGCTGGCTTTATGTCAGCCATGAATGCCATGGAGATGGCATTCCCTTAGTTAAGTACCTATCACTTGTACCTTATGGAGACCCTGAGCAGTAGACTTTTCCCCATTTTATTCAGGCTCACCATGGCCAATAATGAAGATTTTTTTATCCTTATTAGGAACATTAATGCTCTAAATTTGATTTTGTTGGTTTTCTGACCCCTTTTCCTCCTTTGACCACAGCTCTGACCACTGATACTAACTCACCCTCCTCGACATTTACTGACAGCTCTATCGATTCCAAACCACCCATCTAGGTCATTACTCAACCTTCAGTATGCACTCCTTCCTCTATCCCAACATTCTTCTCTCCATCTGCAGCACAGTCTTCAATATTTACCCCCTCTTCCCTTATTAACACTTCAATCCTTATTGTCCATCCCCTACAGAATTGCTCCACTCCACACCACCCCATTTTCCTCTTGTCCTTGTCCTTCTTCTGGCTCTACCTCTGCAAACCTTTTGAGTACTCTCTTTGGCCCAGCCAAGTGGGATCAGTTCTTTGTTATTCTCCCCACAGCCCCCTATTCTGAGAATACTGTTCTCTTTCAACAGTGTCTCCAAAAACAAGTTGGCAAAGTTTCCTTTCGCAGTTACTTTGATCTTTCATGCCTTGTCACAGTTAAATCTGAATCCCAAGCTAATGCACTGTCTACTCTAACTGAACATTCCTGTCAAATCTCACCCTTCTCTTAACATTTGTACTGGAACTGTTTGTCTCCCCAACTGCTTGTCCAGTCTATAACAAGAATTGACCTACTTGCCTGCCTTGCTGTTAAGATGCAGTGGCAGTACAGCGCTACACTATTCCTCCCAGAGGCTAGCATAAATCCCATACCAATGTTGCCAAGAGTAGCTTCCGTAGACATGACCTCCCCCATGAAGTTTATATGGTAGATTGTTCCACCCTGTCTGATCATATCAACCCCTTCCTTGTCAATGTCAGAACTGTTGGCTTTTTGGCCACCCAACCAAACACTGTCCCTCCACAGCCCACTGCCCTCCATGTACCCAACCTGGTCATGACCATTCAAATTGTTGCATAGATGTGCCCATTGTAGTGACTCCCATAATGTATTTTGTAGGAGCCTATAAGCTCAAATGTGATGTAGCAGTTTTCAGATTCAAACTAGGCCTCACCCTATGTGAGACCAGGCAGGAAGCATCACGACAAGGTTTTTCTCTATTCCAAAACAGTCCTTCACTCTGCTTCTCCCCATCTTCATAGGATGTTTCTGCATCTTCCCGAGTATCTTTTTCCTCTATCCTGAACCATCCTACCTCTACTTCCCCTTGTCCCTTAGTCAAATTCTTTTTCCAGTCTAAATCCAGATACTCCAATCTCTACCACTTCTCCGATGCGAACTCTTCCTCCTTCCTACTTCACATGTCGCACCAGATAACCTACACGCTCCTCACAAGAGATCATTTGGTTCTCAGACCTCCCCATCCAAATACCCTCCAGAAACTCAAGAAGACACCCAAAAATTCCTAGACATGACCCAAGGAAATGTTCAGCTTCTTCATCCACCCTCCAATCCCTCTGTTCCTAGTCCTTCTACAGTCAAAGTATTTGCCAGTATACATCCTCCTTCCCCTAAGTTCCCCTACCCCTCTTCCTCCCACTGTTTCCCAGCACACCTCATCCTCTCCTTCTCCATGTGCACCATTCCCTCTTTGTTCCTCATTATCCTTAACTCTCCCACTTGGATACTCATATGAATCCCTTTTGTCACAACAGTGTCCTTTTCCGGATTCCTCCCCTCCAGACTCTTCCTGTTACTTCACCTCCCTTCTCCAGTCCCCTTATCTCATCCCCCAGATTCTTCTCCTGATACTTCTCCATTAGCCATATCTACCCATATTACCTGTTGATTACTTCATAATAGCTCTTTTACCAGTTTTCCTTAAACAATGTTCCTATAGCTTCCCCAGCAACAGATAGACTCCATTTCATCCAGTCACCCTATGTCCGTAACCCTTTCCTTTACTAATCTTCGATTTACTTTATATGCACCCCCTCTTTACCCTTTTTCCTATTATAATGTCATACAACTCTCTATAACCTTTGACATTTAACCCTCTTTATCCTAATTGCCATAATACTTTACCATTGTGCTATACGACCTTAGATGTCTAGCACATTTATTTGTTTCAACTGTTAACCATTCAGGATTATCATCGCTGTAGACCAACAATTTGTCAGAATGCACAATACATTAAACGAGTGTGTGAAGTCTAGGTGCCATGTCAAATACACATTCATCTGCAGGTAAAGTAAAATGAGGAAAACAGTCCATGGGCTGCACTATGCCTAAAATATGTTCAATAATAATGTTTTTAACGTAGTTCTCAACTTGTTTATATTTTACTGCAGTCTTTCATGTGTCACCTTAACAACAGGTGTAATCCCCTTCTTTATTACCTGTTGAGGGTAAGTTGAAATACACATTCTTCTAGTATTTGGTCAGCTAATATAATTCAAGTAGGACAAACTTCAACAATCAAGTTGCTTTTTGAGGGTTTTATTTACTGGATTGTTTGATGAAAAGTCCCTGGGTAATTACAGGTATTGAAAAGTGAACACACAAAATATGTAAATTGTATTGTCAACCTGAATATAGAAATACTCGCATTGTTTTATCCCAGAATAATATAAAGACTACAGAGAGAGTGAAGTGTGGACTCAACAACAGAGTCACCCATATTCTTTCTCTCTCCTTTTTTACAGAGAAAGTAATGTGAATATTGTATAATATATTTCATATATAAATCAAAATGTGTTAATTTACATTTTGAGTACAGAAATTAGAAAAAGATTTTAATTGCTGGAACCTTCAAATGACACAAAAACACAGTTTTCCTTTATGAGATCCACTAAATATATCACAGCCAATTCAGGGTGCAACTTATATTATATCATGGTAAGAAATAATGTACTAAGGACAAGGAAAGATGAACTGACAGTGTAAGTTAGAAAATTTAGTGGCTAACTGAGACCAAGGAACGAGTGTACATTTCAAATTAGCACTTTTTTGGGATAGTATTTGTTTCTGTATATTCACAAAGTTAAGTACAGTCCTGCTCATATCTGTAATGTTCCAGGATTTCCACCATCCGCAGCCTTTGTTCACGTGTACTCAGGCACCGTCCCACTGCACGTTACTACTTCCTGACTGAACTGAGCAGGATCTATCTCCATCACCTGGTCAATGTTTGAGGCGGTGTCTTCTTGCATTGTGATTGTGGGCACCACCACCTCATCCTCTGTTGACATGAATGCAATTATTGCTTCTGCATTATCACTAGATGTTTCTCCCTTCATGATGACTCTGGATAATACATCAGGCTGCTGTTCTACTGTAACAGAACTCCCAGCATGGCAGCTTGCTCCCAGTGGTAACTGTTTGCTTGTAAGGCCAGCCTGAAAATTTAACACATGTTATTCTCCTAAGTTTCACTATTTTCTTTAAGTGATTAACCGAGACTTAATGCTACAGCTATAAAAAGCTATTCACACCTGAAAAAGGCACATCTAGAGATGCATACACACACCTTAATTAGTAATTTTCTCAATAACAAGACCAAAAGGAAAGTCAACTCAATTCCAACAAGAATATTCATTGCCTATACACAACAGGGTATGGTGCACTTACACTGTTCTCTCCCCCCTCTGCTGAGACTGTAACCTCCATCTCTTGGGAATTCTCCAGTTCCTCATCCTCATCAGCATAGATCACAATGTAGCTATCATCTGTGCTGGCATCCTCAGCTCCCACCACTGAAATGAAGGGCGAGGTTGCAGAGGTCGCCATCCCACCCTCCTTGTTGCTCCTCGCCGTGTTTGAGCTCAGCATGAACTCCAGGCCATGGTGTCGGTCCAGAATGTGGTTCTCTATTGCTGATCTTCTCATAAATCCTTCTCCACAAAGCTGTAATGGAGGAATACTTAGAGATCAAACTTCTCACTCTTTGTTAGGCTTGCATCAATACTGTGTTATTTTCTAACAAAGAGTATCCCCTCAACTGGCATAAGAGAACATTCAAGCTCAACATGTTTAGTTAATATCAACATTTAAATACATTAAAAGCAAAGAATTCATTCTTAATACTATAGACAATTATGAAAGATTTGGAGTAAGAAATAATTGCTTGTATTTTGCTTCACTTTAAAATCTTGGAAGGCATAGTATTATTTATATACATTACCATATATCTATCAAGCATAATTTGGGTAACAATTTTATAGATCTGTTTTACAATATGGCAACACAGTCATATATGGTATTTTGGTAGATGATATCTTTATGATTCACTTAAAAACTATCAGTGCCCAAAAGTATATTCTACTAAAGTAAGGTTACTACTCTTATCCTGACAGACATTATATGACAAACCAAAAATACATACAAATAGCATACCTCACACTTATATCTCTGTTATTCGAGTGAATATACATATGTGTCCGAAGATTGTTCTTCTTGTTGAAGGCACGATGGCATATATGGCATTCATATGGCTTTTCTCCCGTGTGTACTTTCATGTGTTCCTCCAGTTTGGGTTTGCAAATGAATGACTTCTTACACAACTCACAAGTGAAATCCCTTATGTTGAGATGAGCATATTGCAAGTGTTTCAACACAGACGAGCTCGTGGTGAAAGGGGCTTGGCAGATCTGGCACTTATATGGCTTTTCCCCTGTGTGAGTTCTCTCATTCTTCCACGTGCTACTGCTTAAACCACTTGGGACAGTAGTTGCAGCCATAGGGTCGTTCGTTGGTGTGTATACGCATGTGAGTCCATAAGTATGACTTGCGGTTGAACGTCTTCCCACACACTTCACATGAGGTTGTGGTTTCTCCTGTGTGGCTCTTCATGTGCAAGATGAGGTTCTCTTGTCAGTGAGCACTTTACTGCAGATTTCACAGTAATACTGCTCGTTCATGTTGCTGTTGTGCTTCTGCATGTGAATTCGCAGTATCTATTCAGCTAAAAAAGAACAGATGGACTCAGTAACGATACAGACACAATTTGAATGACTGGTGTTTGTAGAATAATACTAAAATTACTCCCCATAACTAAAGAAACAAAATCTCATAATTTGTCAAGAAAGCCAAAGTAAAAAAAAAAAAAAAAAAAAAATGTTTTAAAACATTACATATGCACATACCTTAAAAGCCTTATCACACACTGTACACTTGTAAGGCATATGGTCACTGGCTTTGCTTGCGCATGACAAGAGGTGGGAATCTAAATATCTCTTCTTGGCAAATGTGGCACAGCAGTTTTGGCAGGTGAAGCTAGTCTGTGAATTCTGGCTATTGTGTGCGCTGTTGAAGTGACGATAGAGGTCGCTGTGGCAGCTGAATTTCTCATCGCAGTCTGCATGCTTACACTTGTATGGTTTTGTATTCAGATGCACCTGGAATAATCATTGAGTAATGAAGAAGGCACAAAGGAATAATGGATTTACTAAAGCATTCATGTTTGTGCTGTTGATTCTTATGACAATGACATGGGTGACAATAGTTAAAGATGGTGATGATAGTAACAATGGCAATGACAATATTTCTGTAGTTACACTCTTGCAGGCATGAAAAAAAATAATAATAATAATCCTTACTACACATCATCAGTACAAATAATGCAAAAACTTTCAAAGTACCTTGTTATAATGACCAATGAGATCTCTCTTCCGAACATATGATGCTCTGCAGTATTCACATGAGTAACTTTGGCCACTGTGAGAGGCTGCGTAGTGATCACATGCCCCACGCTGGGTAGAGAAGCCTTTGTGGCACTCACTGCATGCCCAAGGTTTGTGTGTGGCTCCATCGACACGATAACTCATTCTGTCCTTTCTTCTCGAATCATGGCACGCTTCTTTCCCTGAGGGGATAAAATTATTTACGGCATTTTTATCTTCATTTTCCTACAATGTCCCTTAGAACTAAGTTGATTTCATGTAAGGAATAATGTACCTTAAAAAATATTACAAGTTTCAACTTCATTCCTGTGACCTCTAGACACCATATACTTACCAACACTTTATTATTTGGTATCTTCAGCAATTTGCCAATCTCAATGTTTTGGGCATCTTTTTCCATATCGGTACTCTGGGGTCTTCACTCTGTTTTTAACAAGGTCATTGGCAGCCTCCTCCAAGGCACCCATGAAATTCCTGAGGTTCTGTTCTGTTTCCTTATCTCTGCTCTTGCTGCACTGGCTTTCACTTGAATCACCAGTTTCAAAAACTAAGGGCATATCTGGCTTCTTTTCTAGGCTCATATCTTCCAGTCTCTGTTCTGGCTTTAACTTGTTGGATCCCTGATCTGTGGCATCATTATCAAGGGGTTTCTCAGATGTTTGGCCCAAGTGCTCAGCATCCTGACTTGCCTCTGTTGCTGAAGAGTCTATACTAGAATTCTGATCTGTAAATAACTGTGAAGTTGAATCGCCTCCTTTTCTAACTTTGGTGCTGCCTATTAGAAAGTCTTCCTCTTGCAAGTTGGTGAGGCATGCCAGGGAGTTGCTTCCAATCTCATCCCATGAGGAAGAATCTGGACCAGGTATGATGTCCTCAAAGCCATCATGGATGGGTTCTTCCTTCACTCTAGGGAGGCAATTTTCTTCTGCATCTTTCTGACTGACTTCTGTACTGCCTTTTCTGTCATTCCAATTTTTGCAAGTGACTTCTACAGATGATGCTTTGGTCTCTTTCTTGAGCCCTTTTGCAACAATCTTAACAACTTCGTTCATGCTTGTTGGCTCCTCCTCCTCGTCTCCACTGACAATAACTGGGGTTAACTTTTCCGCTTGCTGTCTCCTCGGCCTTCCTGGCCTCTTTCGTAGCTTTGTTATTTCCATAATTTCACATGTATCTTTCATGTATGCTTCTATGTCAGCTAAGCTCTTCCCAATGCCTTCTGCCAGGTCACCCTGACCTGGAAGTCCCGTGTTGTCAGCACTCAAAGAAGAAACATTTTCACTAAGGTCACTTTGAGGCAAATCATTTAGATTATCACTAGTATCCTTATCAGATCCTCTGAACCTCAACATCAGGTCACTTTTCATTGAGTTTAACTTCTCTTCCATGTCTGCAATTTTGTCTATCAATAACACACATTTTGCATATAACCAAGGGACCATTAGTTTCTTGGGATCAATTGCACAAGGGAAGAACTGCTCAAACCTCTTCAAGGCTTCTGAGTGATCATCATCTGGCACTTTACTAAACCACTTGGAAGATTTTCTATAGTCTGTATTTGTGACCGCCTTGCAAGCTATGCAGAGAGGTTTTACAACATGTGTTGATTTCATGACATCATCTAAAATGATTGTGACATTTTCATATTCTTCAGCAAACTCGAGTGGTTCTTCTTTGATGACCACATCTTCATGAGACTGTGTGTGACTAGATTTTATATTAACTGAGGTAGTGCTGGCAAAATCCTCCTCCTCCTCTTCCAATGAAGCATCTGTTCTTACCCTCACTGGCCTTGCCGATTTAACCTGATGGTAGCTCTCCTTGTGTGCATCAAGTTCATTTGCTGTGGAAAACAATTTAAAGCACAAATAGCATCTGTGGGTCCTATCTCGCCCTCTTGCACTATGCCTTGTTGGTCTTTGCTCAACTGTCATCTTCAGAATTTGCTGATGGTAGTGCTTTGATGTTGGCTTAAACTCCGCATCTTTTTTCTTCACTCCTTCTTCTGCTTGGCACACCTTTCCATATCTTCTCTTGGTCTGAACTGTTTTGGTTGGAGAATAAGTTTCAAGAGAACTAACCTCCCTGTTTTCTGTGACATTCACCTCAATCTTCTGGTGTTTAGCTTGGGGTTCTCCACTTACTTCATGGACACCTACATCAGTATCTCCATCTCTCTGGCTACTATCATCACTGCTAGTGCTCACTTGGGTTCCTTTCCTCTTTGATGGCACCCTAGACTCCATCTTCAGTGACCCCTTGCAGTTCATAACATGAGCACGAAAAACTTTGGGAGTCTTGTATTTCTTGCCACACTTCTCACATGACTGGCACTTTCCATGTACTTTCTGGTGTTTGATGATTGCCTTCAGCTCATTAGACTCGTAGGAACAAAGACGACACTGGAAAGATGCATCTTGGCTGTGGACCTTTTGGATGTGTGAACGAACATACGAGGCACTGTAGAACTTTTCCCCGCACAAAGAACACTCGTCTTGCCACTCTTCGTGATAGCGACGAATGTGAATTTGGAGAGACCTCTCGGAATGCAATAGGGCACCACATTCATTGCACGACAGCAGTATTGGTCTGTCAGTAGGGAAAAATTGTATTATTTACATATAAATAATACTTTTTACTTGTTATAACTAATAATTCTAGTTTGGTAAACTATATAATGGTTCCCACCATCTAGATTTAAAAAAAAAGTGTATTACCTATAAGAGCCATGAAGTGATACACAGGCTTTTTTTTTTTTTTTACTGATCCATCAATCTGTCTACATATATTATATTATATAATATATATATATATTATATAATATATAATAATATAATATATATATATATATATTATACATACATATACATATACATACAGTATACTTTTTCAAGAATTTGTTTTAATATTTCAACATCACTCATACTATCTGGACATTTGACTGGGTTTCGAAGACATCTTATGTACATCTTAGAATATATATATATATATAGACTTTCAGTATAACTGAAATGGGATGAACATTAAAATTCCATTTTTACCCTAAATATTCATTGAAAATAAATTATAAACCAAATAAATACTTTAGAAAAATCAAAATAATCATACCTATCCTTTATCTCCAAAACTTCTTGCTTCTTCTCCTCTGCCACTGGTCTCAATACTTTGACCTAAATTTGATGATAGGAAATATGAATCATTAAAATATGGAAAAGAAAAAAGAGTGATTGCCAAAAAAAAAATCTTTCATAAGAGAACAGTTTAGTGAAGGACGATAGGAGAGAATTATTTTTTTTTACAACTCCTTTCCTAAAACTCATATGGCAAAGTTATCTTTCTCCACACAAGCACTGTTGGAAATCCCATTGCATACCACGGAGCCGAAGAGCGAGGCAATGTTCTTCAGGGACTTCTGCCCGTGGAGTCCCATTTGTTTGGCCTGAGTCACAGACGACAAGTTAAAAGCCATCATCTCCCCTCGGTCTGTCTGGACCCGCATGCCCTCTGTTAGCAACTCTAGTGGGCTCTGCACTGTAGTAGAATACAAATATGTCTACTTTAAAATAGTTATTGCGCAAGTGGAATATCATGACACATGCATGAGAATGAATAATGTAAAACTGACCTTAGCAATGACAACAAGCAAGTAATTAAATTTCTATCAGTATAGCAAGAAACTTTCGCTGTAAGTACAATAGTAACCAATATCAAAAAAGGCACCATATCTGACATGAAACTTGACCTTAAGAAGAAAATTATTCACTTACTCTTGATGGGTAATCGAGGTTTCGTTTGTCTCTAAAGTCTGTTTATCGGTACTCAGCACTTTACTCAACGAGAGGCTCTTGGCAAAGGGCAATGCTGTCCGAGGCTTTGACACCTGGCCCTGAATCTGTGGTTGGCTTATCTGTATGTCCAAGGAATCTTTCTCTAGGGGGACTTTGGGCAATGTGTCAAGGAAGCTGTTCTTCAAGCTCTGATTCTCCCCCTGAAGGCTGACAGTGAGTAAGTTCTCTGCTTCGCCTGCTTTGGCTTCGAGGTCAGCAGGTAGTTTTCCTGTGGTGAGGTCAGCCTGCGCACTTGAAGCCTCAACATCTTTCAGCATCATTGCGGAAACAGGTAAGGCACTCCTGCAACAACAAACATTGACTGTTAGTTGAGAAGTGAGCAAATGTAAAAGACCCAACCAAGATAAATGACAAAAGTGTGAATATGGTGTTTTGTTTCTTAGCCTATTACTTCAAGCACAATAATATTCACTGTGATAAAAAAGTGACTAAAAATATTAATATGCTTCACATTGAGTAAATAAACAACTAAATGAACAACAAAAAAGAATAACCAGCAATCTATATTAATTTACCAACATCTATACTTTCCTGTCTATATGAATTACTTTACAAGCTATATTGCTTTGCTTGGTAACAGAAAGTGCTATGTGTACTAGATACCCCTGGTCACTGTCGCCAATCTCTCTCTCAGGTGCATTGATGAGGTAAACCTCCTCTCCGCTATTTCCTCCCACGACGAAGATCTGCATGTTCCTCTCTGTCTCGCCCACAGCCACAATATTCTCACTCCTGGCCCTTCCCTCGTCAGCCTCCGATGCCTGACTCTCTCCGAGGATTGGTTCTGCTTGAATGCTTTCATCGTCCAGGGACCCCAAGACCTGGAGGAAATTTCAAGATGTCCAGCAAGACCATACTATTCGCACACTAATTCTGTGATGTTTCTGTCATACCTTTGATGAAGCTTTGCGTTCTTGCACACGAAAAACAAATAGCTTAAGGCATTTTATTTCTAATTTTACAATAATTATCGTTACTGTTGTCACAGTCACAATCACTGTCACTGCATAAACATTTTTATTGTCTGTTTCAATGTCATAGTTATTGTTACTATCATTGACATCATGATCATCATCAGTAGCATCATCATTATTGTTATCATTATTATTACTATTGTTAATGTCATTGTCATCATTATCATCATCAGTATCATTACTGTTTTCACAATCATTATTTTAATTATCATTCTAATTCATTAAACCTTTATTGCTATAATCATTATTACTGCAATCATATTCATTATTATTACTATTAATTTTCATTCCAAAATAAATGCCTGAATGCAAAATAATTGATCATCCTATCACGAAAAGAATTTATTATCCTTCCAAAATAAATGACAGACCACAAAAATAATTTACTGTCCTTTGAAAATACAACCTAAATGAGACTGGAGAAGATTATTTACTGTCCATAGCAAATAAATGGCAGACCACAAAAATAGTTTGCCTATCAAGAGAATATACCAACATAAAGCAATTTATCCCCCACCTGGATGATTTGTCCATCGGGAGTCTGGATAAAATACTGCCCTGATGGAGATAGCTGCAGTTGGGGTCCGGCCTCGTCTTCCTCAGCTTCCCCTTCATCTTCTTCGTCCCCATCACCTTCTCCTCCTTCCCCTTCTAATCCTCCTTCATCTTTTTGCGTTTTCTCCTTTCCGTCATCTGCATCGACTCCTTCCAAACATTTCAAGGGATCGTCTGGTGCTGTGATTGGCAAGGAGTCCGTGCTGTGCTTACTGGCATCTGGGCCTAAAGAAGAAGGGCTTGTTTCAAGGACATCACAAAGACACCAGAGACATCACAAAGATAAATTCAAGAGAAGGGGGGATGGGGTATGAAAGGCCATGTTTCAGGGACATCACAAAGATAAATTCCAAAGGGGGGCGGAAGGGGTATGAAAGGCCATGTTTCAGGGACATCACAAAGATAAATTCAAAGGGGGGGGGGCAGAAGGGGTATGAAAGGCCATGTTTCAGGGACATCACAAAGATAAATTCCAAAGGGGGGGGGCGGAAGGGGTATGAAAGGCCATGTTTCAGGGACATCACAAAGATAAATTCAAAAGAGGGGAGGGGAGGAAGGGGTATGAAAGGCCATGTTTCAGGGACATCACAAAGATAAATAAAAGAGAGGGGGGGAAGGGGTATGAAAGGCCATGTTTCAGGGACATCACAAAGATAAATTAAAAAGAGGGGGGGGGGGGTATGAAAGGCCATGTTTCAGGGACATCACAAAGATAAATAAAAGAGAGGGGGGAAGGGTATGAAAGGCCATGTTTCAGGGACATCACAAAGATAAATTAAAGAGGGGGGGAGGGAAGGGGTATGAAAGGCCATGTTTCAGGGACATCACAAAGATAAATAAAAAGAGGGGGGGGGTATGAAGGCCATGTTTCAGGGACATCACAAAGATAAATAAAAGAGGGGGGGGAAGGGGTATGAAAGGCCATGTTTCAGGGACATCACAAAGATAAATAAAAGAGGGGGGAAGGGGTATGAAAGGCCATGTTCAGGGACATCACAAAGATAAATAAAAGAGGGGGGGGAAGGGGTATGAAAGGCCATGTTCAGGGACATCACAAAGATAAATAAAAGAGGGGGGGGGGAAGGGGTATGAAAGGCCATGTTTCAGGGACATCACAAAGATAAATAAAAGAGGGGGGGGGAAGGGTATGGAAGGCCATGTTTCAGGGACATCACAAAGATAAATAAAAGAGGGGGGGAAAGGGGTATGAAAGGCCATGTTTCAGGACATCACAAGATAAATAAAAGAGGGGGGGAAGGGGTATGAAAGGCCATGTTTCAGGACATCACAAAGATAAATAAAAGAGGGGGGGGAAAGGGGTATGAAAGGCCATGTTTCAGGGACATCACAAAGATAAATAAAAGAGGGGGGGGGAAGGGTATGAAAGGCCATGTTTCAGGGACATCACAAAGATAAATAAAAGAGGGGGGGAAGGGGTATGAAAGGCCATGTTTCAGGGACATCACAAAGATAAATAAAAGAGGGGGGGGGAAGGGTATGAAAGGCCATGTTTCAGGGACATCACAAAGATAAATAAAAGAGAGGGGGGGGAAGGGGTATGAAAGGCCATGTTTCAGGGACATCACAAAAGATAAATAAAAGAGAGGGGGGGAAGGGGTATGAAAGGCCATGTTTCAGGGACATCACAAAGATAAATAAAAGAGAGGGGGGGAAGGTATGAAAGGCCATGTTTCAGGGACATCACAAAGATAAATAAAAGAGGGGGGGGGGAAGGTATGAAAGGCCATGTTTCAGGGACATCACAAAGATAAATTCAAAGGGGCGGAAGGGGTATGAAAGGCCATGTTTCAGGGACATCACAAAGATAAATAAAAGAGGGGGGGGGAAGAGGGTATGAAGACCATATTTCAGGGACATCACAAAGATAAATAAAGAGGGGGGAAAGGGGTATGAAAGGCCATGTTTCAGGGACATCACAAAGATAAATAAAAGAGGGGGGGGAAGGGTATGAAAGGCATGTTTCAGGGACATCACAAAGATAAATTCCAAAGGGGGGCGGAAGGGGTATGAAAGGCCATGTTTCAGGGACATCACAAAGATAAATTCCAAAGAGGGGGGGGGGAAGGGTATGAAAGGCCATGTTTCAGGGACATCACAAAGATAAATAAAAGAGGGGGGGAAAGGGTATGAAAGGCCATGTTTCAGGGACATCACAAAGATAAATAAAAGAGGGGGGGAAGGGTATGAAAGGCCATGTTTCAGGGACATCACAAAGATAAATTCAAAAGGGGGGGGCGGAAGGGTATGAAAGGCCATGTTTCAGGGACATCACAAAGATAAATTCCAAAGGGGGGGGGGGCGGAAGGGTATGAAAGGCCATGTTTCAGGGACATCACAAAGATAAATTCAAAGAGGGGGGGGGGGAAGGGTATGAAAGGCCATGTTTCAGGGACATCACAAAGATAAATAAAAAGGGGGGGGGGGGAAGGGGTATGAAAGGCCATGATATAGGGACATCACCAAGATAAAGCAAGAGAGGGGGGGGAAGGGTATGAAAGGCCATGTTTCAGACATCACAAAGATAAATAAAAGGGGGGGGAAGGGGTATGGAAGGCCATGTTTCAGGGACATCACCAAGATAAATGCAAAGAGTGGGGGGGGGAAGGGGTATGGAAAGCCATGTTTCAGGACATCACAAAGATAAATTCCAAAGGGGGGCAGAAGGGGTATGAAAGGCCATGTTTCAGGGACATCACAAAGATAAATTCCAAAGAGGGGGGGGGGATGGTGGGAAGGGGGAAGTATGAAAGGCCATGTTTCAGGGACATCACAAAGATAAATAAAAGAGGGGGGGAAAAGGGTATGAAGAGCCATGTTTCGGGACATCACAAAGATAAATAAAAAGGGGGGGAAGGGGTATGAAGGCCATGTTTCAGGACATCACAAAGATAAATTCCAAAGGGGGGGGGGCGGAAGGGGTATGAAGGCCATGTTTCAGGGACATCACAAAGATAAATTCCAAAGAGGGGGGGGAAGGGTATGAAGGCATGTTTCAGGACATCACAAAGATAAATAAAAGAGGGGGGGGGGAAGGGGTATGAAAGGCCATGATATAGGAATCACCAAGATAAATCAAGAGAGGGGGGGGAAGGGTATGAAAGGCCATGTTCAGGGACATCACAAAGATAAATAAAGAGGGGGGGAAGGGGTATGGAAGGCCATGTTTCAGGGACATCACAAGAATAAAATGCAAGAGTGGGGGGGGGGGGGAAGGGGTATGAAAGGCCAGTTTCAGGGACATCACAAAGAAAATAAATTCCAAAGGGGGGGGGCGGAAGGGTATGAAAGGCCATGTCAGGGACATCACAAAGATAAATTCCAAAGGGGGGTGAAGGGGTATGAAAGGCCATGTTTCAGGGACATCACAAGATAAATTCCAAAGGGGGCGGAAGGGGTATGAAAGGCCATGTTTCAGGGACATCACAAAGATAAATTCCAAAGGGGGGGGGCGGGGGGTATGAAAGGCCATGTTTCAGGGACATCACAAAGATAAATTCCAAAGGGGGGGGGCGGAAGGGGTATGAAAGGCCATGTTTCAGGGACATCACAAAGATAATTCCAAAAAGGGGGTGAAGGGGTATGAAAGGCCATGTTTCAGGGACATCACAAAGATAAATTCCAAAGGGGGGGCGGAAGGGGTATGAAAGGCCATGTATCAGGGACATCGCCAAGACACCAGGGACAAGATAAACTCAAGAGGGGGGGGGGGGATATAGAAGGCATTGTTTCAGAGACATTAAGATAAATGCAAGAAAGGAGAGAAGGGGTATGAAAGTCATGGGGGGTAAAGTGCCTCATGAAATCCCTGACAGGTAGTTAAAATGGGGGAGAGGGGTTATTAACGAGAAATGTGACATGGCCTCTGAACTGTTGTGGTAATGCTCTTGCCATGTGATTTCCATGTGTACAATCATATGCATATGCAAATATATATTTCCATAAGCTTAAATATGGATTTACACTTTCTTTACTACTTCAGTCATTATTTTCAACTTTTAAAGTAACTTTTTAGTAAACATACATGCTAAAGAAATAGAAGACAATGGAACAGGTCAAAAATTTTGTTTAATAAATACAGGAATCAATGGATGAAGCCTTCCATTAGAAAAAAAAGAACAAATACTACAAAAGCCTGCTTTTTTTTTTTTTTTTTAATCTCAATAGATCATCAACAAAAATATTTCATGTACAACACATTTTGTCCGTACCTTCATCCTCATCTTGAGAAATGTTTAAACTCTGCGTAAGGAGTCTATCTGCGGCTTCATTTTCCACCAATATAGTGCTGTTGATACCTTCAGATGACCCAACGAGCTGATAAAAAAAAAAAAAAAAAAAAATACAGATATATTCATCAAGTGTAAGTATTGTATGTGATGATGATTGATGATTGATGATTGATGATGGTGATGATGATGATGATAATCATGATGATGGTGTTGGTGATGGTGGTGGTAGTGATGGTGATGATATTAAAAATAATAATATATTAATATATAAAAGAAATATAATAAAAACTTTTCTCACATCTTTATTTCAACCTACATATAACCATCACACACTGGCAAACAAAGAAATAAATTTCACGAATGCAAAAAAATAAAATAAATAAATAAATCAAATAAATAAATAAATAAACAAGCAAATATATAAATGAATGAATGAATAAAAAATAATCAAACAGTAATAATAATAATAATAATAATAATAATAATAATAATAATAATAATAATAATAATAATAATAATAATAATAACAATAATAATAATAATAATAACAATAGTTACCTGCACGGGATCGCAAACAATAGATACAGTTCCAGATTCATCGACTTCATACTTCAATTGAGCCGACTCTATGAGGGAAATCAGCTGCTTTACGTCCGCTTCCTCCATTCTGGAAGAAAAGGTGCAAAAGGGAGCAATGATAAAAAAGATATGAGAATTTGTTCTTTTTTCTTTTTTCTCTTCTTCTTTACTGAATTCTAAGCACATATGTGTTCTGTTATGTTGCATGTGTTTACCTACATCCATATATATATATAAACATTATATTAATTATATATATATTATATATATATATATATATATATATATATATAATGTATATATATATATATATATATATATATATATATATATATATATATATATATATATATATATATGTATATATATATATATTATATATAT